ATTTTCATGGAGCACAAATTTCTGTTACTTCACATTAAATCTCTATACTCCTTTAAGTGTAAAGTGAACTTTTCTGTAGCAATTTACAGTGATCTTCTTTTATCACCTATCCATCCACCCCATGTCTCTTGACTGGATAATCTGATCCCTTTATATTTAGTATGATATGGATGAATTCACTATTGTTATTTTATGACCTTATTTTCTTCTCAGGAATTCCTTACTCATTTCTGTTGCTATGAGTTTTGAATTGCTCTGCTTTGGTAACTGTTGGTTTGTATTTTTTTGTGGTTATTATAGGTTTTGCTTTCTGGTTAATACCAAGTTCACTCAAAACTTCTTTCATGTGCAACAATGTATTTTAAGCTGGGAAAGCTTTACTTTACTTTGATCACGTATAAAACTATTTTCTTCCCCACATTATGTTACTGATGCTATTATATATTTCTATAAAATTTGACCATTAATGAGTTTTTGTAAATATAGTTATTATTAATGCATTTCTCTCAACTTTTTGAGACAAAGTCTTGCTAGGTAGATAGATTAGGCCTCCCAAGAACTCAAGGCATTCCTCCTGACTCAGCCTCTCAAGAGCTGAGATTACAGGGGTAATCCCACTCTGCTTTGGCTTTAAAAATCCAACTTAAAAATCATAAAAGTATAATAAAAAAAATCTATGGGTACTTAAGCATCTTCATATGTATAGTTGTTTTTATTATCAAGTTGTACCAGTCATCAAAGGAAAATATATCTCAGTCATCCACAAACTCTTTCAAAAAATAAAATGTGGAAATAAACAGGGAAGGCATTTCCTCTCCCAGTTGGCTTAAGAGAATTCCATAACCTGTATATTAAAGCCAAATAAGAACATTTAAAGAGAAAACAGCTAAGTCTTGCTCACTTCAAAGCTATGGATAACCTAAGCAGTACATTAGCAAAGCAAAGAGACACAATGCAGAGCCCTCTTGAGGAATGAGAGTCTTTTTTTTTTTGATATTACTTCCAATAAGTACAATATTTATTAAACATATCTTCAGTTTTGTTACATAGTGTGCAACAAATTACAATATTCTGCAGCCACAAATTATATGCAGAGTATGAAGAAACTATTAATCAGATAGTGTAATCTTTCCATTTATAACTCTACCAGGAAGAATTAGCAAATCAGATCTTACATATAATGTCTCACTAAACTTTATGCATGGAAACTGACAGACACTGGTTGTGCTGTTTGATACAAAATGGCTGAACTTCATCTTCAGAAGACTAAACCCAACATCTAAACATGCCAATATAAACATCAAAACAAAATATATTCTAACCAACCACGGGAAACGATCTGGTATCGGGAAAGCAACAAGGATTACACACATTATTTTATAAACCAGCACACAATGGTTTAAAATAGTTCTGAAAATGAAGTTAGCTGTCTTGAGTCAAGGGAATAAAAAAAAAAGTCAGTATTGACCATTTACAATCTCTGACCTTGTAGAAACGGTAAGAATCTGTTGTAGTGCGGCTACATACAGTACAATTCAGGCAATTTGTTTTTCACTTGGGTTCAGATTTCGAATTCATTGCTGTGAGAAAAGGAAGGAGGCGGATTTGAGCAGCAGCCTCCACCTGACTGCTTGACTGGAGTGCTCTGTATTTTAACATTGGACTTTTCTGCACCACCAGCTGTTGCTCCAGGACCCATTCATTTTTTAATCTTCGCTGCCATCGTCATGAAAGACTGTTCTACATTCGTTGCATTCTTAGCACTGGTTTCCAAAAATGGAATTCCAAGGGAATCTGCAAATTCCTTTGCTGTTGTGTAGTCTACGACTTTCTTTGTGGTCAGGTCACATTTGTTCCCTACCAACAACTTGTTGACATTCTCACTGGCATAGCGATCTATCTCCTGCAGCCACTGTTTAACATTATTGAAGGACACCTGCTCTGTCACATCATACACAACTATGATGCCATGGGCTCCTCTGTAATAACTGGAGATGATTGTTCGAAATCTTTCCTGGCCTACTGTGTCCCATATCTGAAGCTTGATTGTTTTCCTGTCTAACTCTATAGTTCGTATCTTGAAATCCACACCATTTGTGCTGATGTAGCTTTCTGTATACGTATCATCTGCAAACCTAAGGAGAAGGCAAGACTTCCCAACCCCAGAATCACCAATCAGAAGTAACTTGAATAAATAATCATATTCGGGATTCATGCTGGACATGTCACTGCAGCTGCCACCGCCGCCACCGCCCTTGCTGACGCAGCCACAACTCTCCGCGCCACGGGTAATGGAAGGGTAGGAATGAGCTAAGCTGTTCTGGTAGAATTCTAAGGGTACTCCGACCCTTAGAACACAATCAGCAGCCGCCGCCACTCAGTGATCCTCAAGCATTTCTTCATCTTTTTCAACACTAGAAGAGCTACTGGTAAAATTCAACAGGTTCACTGCTTAAAAATATGAATATGTACATTGTAGAAAAATAGTAACATTTTTAACTGATAAGGGATATTTATACAAAAATCCTTTATGGATTGAATCCTCAAAATATTTCCTCTAGTTCCTATATCAATAACTGGGAGAATGCTCTCCCAGTTACACTGGAGGGAACACTCTCCCGAAGTTACACTGGAAGGAATGCTCTCCCGGGGTTACACTGGAGGGAATGCTCTCCCATGGTTATACTGGAGGGAACGCTTCCTCAGGGTTACACTGGAGGGAATGGTCCCTCAGGGTTACACTGGAGGGAATGCTCTCCCAGGGTTACACTGGAGGAAGTGCTCTCCCAGGGTTGCACTGGAGGGAATGTTCTCTCAGAGTTACACTGGGGGCCCAGTAGAAGTGGTGGCAGAAAGGAAATGAAACATAGACATTGTCACTGAAAAACAAAGAATGGGGAGTGAGGTAAGGCCCCACTGGTGGTAGAAGGCCTGAGCTGACTAACTCAGCTTCCACCCAGGCCCAGATCCAGAACTTTGAGTCAGTCCACCTCAACATCCCTCCATCTATGAGCTGCTGGAGTACATGAAGGAGCCAGTTCTGCAGAACAAGAGCTTCAGGATCTCCATGCCTGGTTCTGAGCAACAGTAGGGTATCAGAGAAGAGTCTCAGTGGTGGTCCAGTATTGATGGTGTGGCAGAAGCCAGAGGCCTTGAACCAGACCAATGACTCATTGGAATGAACATTTACATGTAAAGCTGTTTGGGGAACACACACACACACACACACACACACACACACACACACACTGTATGACATAATGTAGCTTCCAGTGCCACCATGATGCACGAGTATGTGAGAAAGACATGGGAAAGACAGAGGAACAGAGTGGTAAATGCACAGTGGACATGGGCGGAGTTACAAATGTGACAACTGTGAGAGACGGCAGCAATCCATGGAGGAACATGTTGCCCAGTAGAGTCAGTAGGGTGGTGTGCAGCAGTGCGGAGCTTAAGCAGATGTAGTCCCTGAATGAGCTGCACAGCTGTAGGGTCACCCTGACCCTGAGCAATGACAGGATATCTAAGATGAAGAATAGTTCATTTCCTGGATTGGACCTCCTCAAAAGACCCTCATGGTCCATACTTCTCATGGAGGCCATGCTGGTATCAGTGGTTTGTACTGCTGCCTCAGGCTGTGATGAAGCTAGGAGCCCGTGGTCTGTACTGCTACAGAAGGCTTTGTTTGGATCCTTGGTTCTACTACAGCCGGGCATGGTGATGACCTCCTGAGTGGCCTGTGCCACCAGAGACCAAGCAGAGGTCCTTGGCATGTGGTGCTAATGGAGACAATGTGGGTGTTCATATCCATGCTGTTGCCAGAAACTAAGTACAAGGCCAGGCTCCAGGCTCCTGCTGACTAAAAAGGGCAAGGAAACTACTTTTGCAGTGGTATGGATGACCTCAGATGCACAGTTGAGAGAGGGGAATATAGAAGGCTTTCATGACAACCCCTACCCAACCCAAAATAACAGCCTAAAAAGAAGCCACCAAAGAGGACTCTTACTGTGATAAAGATGATGAATGTAGTGAATAGATGGCTTCGGGCCAGGGGTGTGGGTGGAGAAGGACTCAGTTTACTTTAGGGGACCAGCCCCCAGGAGTTTGACCATGTTCCAGCGAATATATGGACAACACAAATTGGACTTGCTTCCCCTTCCCTTCTTTTTTTTCTTTCTTCTTTTTTTGGGGGAGAGGGGAAAGTGAGTGTGATTAGATTACATGATGAGAAATTCCCAAATGATCAATAAAAATATTGTTAAAAAAAGAGCAATACAGACTAATGGTTCAAATACACCTACTACACACCTTAAATAATCATCTTATAACCTTCACCTGACTGTGTTTATGGCCCTCTGCTCCCCTAGTTATTCCTCAGGTCCACTTCATTTGTCCTTTTTTATTCCTGAGGGCTATACTATCACCATACATACAGCAAGTATTGAGTGTGCATTAGACAGCATTGAAATAACGAGAGGCATAGATAATTAGCAAGGAGAGAGCTGTGTTCTAAGGGAACAAATACATGAAAAGCAAAACCAACCAAACAAAAATAACCACTGAGAATTAAAAAGACTCAGTGGCTTTTAGAGCTCCTGGGAACTTGACCACTTATTTTGATAGTCTTCAGTTGCCCTACCCTTGATTCTTTTTCAGGCCCACTAGAGTTAACAAATACCAGCGAGCCAAAAGTTTAGTAGTTGCCTCGTCAGTATTGCATACTCGATCTCATTACAGTTTAAATGAACAGAAACTACTTTAATAGCATCTCTATTAGAGTGTATGCGGGCAAGAGTGACACTCATTCCTTATGCTATAGTGTCAATATGTAGGCACAGTGTACAACCATAGCACACAGTACGTACTAATTTAGGGAGCTGAGCTGAATCTGTGGCATGATATAAATGCTTTCATTGAGTTGTCACACAGACCAGATTAAGGAACCAAAACCTAAGTGGCTAACTCAGCCACTGTTTAATTAACAGAATTATCTAAGTCACCTGAATCCGACGTTGGAGTGAAGAGCAATATTCCAATATTCACAATGCAGACGCTGTAGATTCATTGGATTATGAAAAACCAGAAGTAAAGAGTTGTCCTGCGTGTGGTAGTAAGAATCAACACATCGGTATTGCTGATGAGCCTCCTGAAGAACCTGAAGACAGAATAATTGTATTGTTCTGCTGTTCTACCTCCAGGAGAAGAGGCAGTTGCTAGGGCAGCACCCATCACCCTGCTTTCCTGCCTCTCATTACCACATCGTTGGCAACTTTGGTTTTCCGGGGGATTCTTTTCTAACTACTAGAAAATGAGAGCATAAAATAAATAACAGTAGGCCTCGCGGGTAGAGGCATTTGCTAAGTGCTCTTTACAGATGTCAGTAGGTAACAGTCAGTTAGTTCTTTATCTAACGTTTTTGTCTCCATATAGATCAATTCAGTTTTAGCATCATTAAATATTGCAGATAAAATGGGCATCATATACTAGGATGAGCTCGACCTGCTCCAAGTTCATAAACTCACACCTAGCGGATAATATTTGTGGTCTTTGGGGGAAGTTATGAGGGTGAGTATCTCACTAAAGGATTTGTGTCCTTATCATTAGGGACAGTGGAGAGCTCTCTTTTCCCTCTCTCTGCCATGAATAACTCAGCAGAGCAATATCACGTGCAGGGCAGGAAGCAAGTCCCATTAGAAAGCAGCCATACTCGCACCTAGACTCTGTTCTCACACTTCTGAAGCTCTGACATTCTTCTACTATTTAAGCTGCCCAGCCTGAAGTATTTTGTTATGGCAGCCTTGGTAGACTAAGGTAATAGATAACATCCCCCCTCCCGCCCCACCCCCATTACTAAATATTAGGTCTCATTTGCCAGCATGATTAGGGAGCTGCTAAGAAGAGGGTTTGTAGGTTCTGGAGTTCAAGCCAGCTATCTTCCAGCTCTGATTTCTCTTTCTCTCTCACACTGTGCCCTCCATATATACTGCACACTAGAGTGAAATGAGGTGAGTGGTCTTTCCAATAGATGCTGCTGCTGTTTGCCTTCCACCTCTGGCCCGTTATGAAATATAATTCTCGCAGCCTGCACTATAATGCCACCACCAGCAGAGGGCACCAAGGCATAGCCTTTTGTCCTGTTTCCTTCTCAGTGTCAGTCAACCAGAAGGATTGAGTCCACAGGAAAAGGAAGAGAACAAGAGCAGGTTTTGTTTGTGTTTTCAACGCTGATTTACCATATGCAGCTTTGTGTGTTCTGCCCTGCAGATAATCTCAGGGAGTTGCAAACATTGTCAGGAAAGGGTCGTTTCAGTTTTGCTTTCATTTCTATAATAGTAATAGATTGGAAATAATTTATTTCCCAGTCTAGTCCCCTGTATGAGTGTTTCAATGGCGAGCCTCTTAAATGTTGACATCTGCTTTCTGAGGCAATTATAATACAATTGCCCCACAACCTATTTCTTACCTAGTATTTTTGAAAGGCAAATTCCCCTGAGACAGAAACCTAGGAAACAGATGTTTGTTTACAGTGAACATAAGCCCTCCTTTTAGACAACAGGAGCTCTGCCATCTTTGCTGTGACTGTCAGGGAATGTAGTGGCGAGATTTCCAGAGCCATGATTGGCTCTAAGAATTTGAAGTGTTTCCATTATCTTTCCTTTTTACCAATTGGTACTTGCCCTTCACATGCTATTGCTGGTCTCATGTAGTTCACAAAGAGTGAACAGTGATGGTGCTGTAACTCAGAGTGATGTGTTTACCTGACATAACCAAGGGCCTGGGGTTGATCACCAGAACCACAAAGCAACAACTATCACCACAGCGAGAAACAATCAGCAGAGAGTTAAGTGTCAGGCACTGTTCCTGGAATACATAAATGAATGCAAGGGACAAAACTTTCCTCTGCAATTAGATTAAGGTTTGTATAGGTCGCTCTGAGTTCTCATCAAGTGAGTGAAATATTTAAATTATAGAGAATGGACCAGAAGGAAACCAAAGCAGTCTGAAAATTAGGACATTTCAACACAAGGTGAGGATGGGGGTAAATTAAAACTGACATGGTTAGATCTCACACCCAGGTCAGTCTTGTTTTATGAGGGAACTGTCTGTAGAAGATGAGTCAAGAGAATAAAGATCAGAGGACCCTAGCTCCTACTGAGGGAGAGGCACACTGGGGAGAAAACAGAAATTGTATAAATGTCTAAATCACAAACGTGAGTCACAAATGTGGGCCACATATGTAATTCTAAATTTTATAGTTGCTACATTTTAAAAAGTGAGACAGGTAAAAATCTATATTTGTTTCATTCAATATATGAAATGCTATCATTTCAATGTATAGTAAGTATAAAAATTATGAACAAGGTATATCATTATTTCATGCCAAGTCTTTGAAATCTAGTGTTTGGCCCCTACAGATACACATGGAGTGCCATTTGACTCTGTCTTCTTTCTTGTTGAATTGCTATCATTTTTTTTTTTAACTGTTGATGAAGTTTGGAAGTTTCTATTTTTTTCCCCCATAGCATGGCCTTGTAGATTCTTCTGGCTTTAAAAATATAGGAATGTAAAATCTAATCAAAATGAGATTCAAATTAGAAAGATAAATCATCTTGAGTACAGGTTTTGCAAAATCTCAAAATGAACATGTGTTCATTGCTAGATTTCTTACTGTTTTTTTTTTCTAGCAATTAAAAGCATATTAGGATGGAGCACATTTCCTTTCTTGGTTGTTTTCTTCCTGTTTCTCACTTAGCAACAGACTTTTGGCCAAGGTGTCTTGGTATCTATGACTTACCAATTTCTTTGTCATTGGCTTATTCCTAGGAATACACTTACTATATGTACCAGCCATGGCCTAGCACACAGCACTTAGCACAGTAACAGCCAATGATCACAGCTACCATTGACCAGTTCATCAAAACAGAAAGCACCATGAAGCACAGTGAAGTCTAAATAGAAGAGGATTGGGGAGGAGAGAAGGCAGGATGTTGCTTCCTAGTAAAGACACGTAGCAGAAGTCTTTCCAGCCGTTTGGGGGATTTCCTGGGAATGCATGGCTCAGTGTGGGAACAAACTCATTTTGTAGCTGAAGTCAGTGTGAGTACTGAGTTGAGCTAAATCTGAGAGAGTGACCCAGAAGTGAACTGTTCCCAGTTACAGCTCATCTCTCCACAATTGTCCCTGGGCCTCTCCTGGAGAATCACAGCCCATAAATACCTGAAGCAGGACTTTCGGCTGAAAATGTTCAGTAAAGCTCCAGTCCATTAAACTGCGCTGTTGTGTTTTTTTAATGTCCTCTATGTCGGCTTCCACCACCATCTTCTTGGGTTTCTTTAAAAAAAAAAAAGTAAAGAAAGAAAGAAGGAAGGAAGGAAGGAAGGAAGAAAGGAAGGAAGGAAGGAAGGAAGGAAGGAAGGAAGGAAGGAAGGAAGGAAGGAAATCACAGGAACACACTTTCAGCTCTAATTTGTTTAGTCCAAATGGAGCCCTGTTAGACTCGGTGGACTCACCCCCCATGCGCCCCATTTAATTATGGGAATCTGCATATGTATAGAGCCATATGGCAACATTTTAGGAGGGCCACTGCCAGAAAGAAGTATGCCTTTGACTCTTTTTTTTTTTTCAAATGTGCAACATAACCTAAATATTTTTATTGTTAGGTTATACTCTTCAGAGTCCTGTTAGCAATTATAGGCAGGTTTTCTGAACTCACTTCAAGACAGTGTTAGTTCTACATGGGCTGTATGGTCAGCAGGTGTTTGTGAGGTTGCCAAGCCACACTGTCTAGAGAGGGGCAGGGAGCTGGGAAGTTTTACTTCAGTTAGAGAGCCTAGTAAATTTAACCCCTTTCACTCCAGATGGAGTTGGGATGGGATGTCTAAATAAGCCCTCTCCTCAGCATCAACATTTTCCTTTTACAAATCCATCTATCTATCTATCTATCTATCTATCTATCTATCTATCTATCTATCTATCTATCTATCTGCACATCTACACACATATTTGGTCAGGGGTTTTCTCAGATCATCTTACTCTTCATCTACGCTTTAAGGAAAATAATTCCTTACTTTTTCAAGAGAATCATCCTTTGTGGCTGCTTCATCTTTGATCTCAGTGTCCACGGTCTGCTCTGTAAATCAAAGACAGCAACATGCAGTTGTGTTTTGGCTTTGTTCTTGCCTCTGGCTGGTGCTGTGTCTTTTTGGTTGCCCATATGATCTATGTTTCTGTGCTGAAAAGGTAATTCCCGAGAGGCAGGTTTCGTGCCTCCAAAAAGGTGTTTGTGTCGATAACTCTAAGTCAGTGCCTACCTAGAATTTATCCTCGAGCCTTTGAAAAGAACCTGCCTTCTAATCTGGTGTGCACTAAATCATACCAGCCATTCTTCTTCTGGACTGTATAGTGCTCACTTCTTGCAGCACAGTCTTTGCCTTCACGGACTGCAAACATTTACTGGCTAAGCTAGATCTCTGATTCACCGCTTTCATTCACCTCCCTCTGGTGATCTGCACAAAGCCTTTGCAGATTTCCACGAGCCTTGCCTGGTAGATGACAGAAGGGTGAGGTCATGTAAACAGGAGAACTAGCAAGGAATTCACCTGTTAGAGTGACAGCATCCTACCATTCTGTTGAGCTCTTTTGACCACTCCTCATCATATTAGCTAATGAGCCTGTGCACAGTGACAGGCGGAGTTTAACAGGCATCAGTTAAATGGGTAAATGACTGGGTACTTGGATTCTAATGTACCCTGCCATGGACCAACATGAGTGAGGCATATCAGCTCCCCCATGAACAAGAGTGATACCATCCTTGGCTAGGAAGCAGCAGCCATCTGAATGGATGAGAAAGGAACAGGTCTATGCCAGTGATTTTTACCTCGTGAAGTGCACCAGGATAAATGAGACACCACAAAGAATGCTGAGGAGATACCTACTGTAATGTCCCCCACATCTGATGAAACAAATGGAGTATCCTTGAGAGAGTAAGTCTTATGGGAGCATACTTTTGTGTTGCTGAGTGGCTGAGGCAACTTGGCTTCTTATCGGCTTGAGAATAATTGCAAATTCCATGTTACAAAGCTGTGTGTAAAACACTGCAGCTTCCCTCTTCCAACAGGCTCCTCCCAGTCCCCCAGCCCTTTTTTCCCCACTGCAGATTGACTGGCAGCTTGTTGTGTGTGGGCAGTTCTACATTCGGCTTTCCCTCTGTCTGCCATACTTTCCTTTAAGCTATTCACCTATTTCACACTCTGGCCACCTTCCTGAGAACCTCTGCCTCATGCTATGCTTCATTATAAATCATGGCATTGATGGGGTGGGATTTTATTTGGTCATAGTCTGCCCCTCTGCCTCAAGTCACTATTGCTGGAGAACAAAACTGTGCCCTTAGTACACGATATGTACCTGGCACCTGGTGGGTATTCAGTGCTGTTTTTTCCTTCTGATCGAAAGGGGTGAATTTATGTGACATATGAAACTAGAAGGGGTGGCAGAGTCATATCAAAAATGGAAATGTGGAAGCAAATCTATATGAAAGGCTAATCTGAGTGTGAATATCAGACTTGTATTTTCATTTTGTTGCAAAGAGACCCATACGTGGGATTGTAGAGTGGAAAGTACCAATGCCTACTGAGGACAGGCTAAGGCTTTTCTCTCCCAGGAGCACATCTATGTGAGTCTTTGGTTCTAGTTTCCTCTTGTCCCTTGGCTGCTGCAGGTGACAGAATGAATGTTCCACCTAGACTTAGTGCAAGATGTTAAAGCCAATTTAGCTCAGCATTTGTATAAACATATCCACTGAAGACAGAACTCAGGCCAACTATGATTCTAAATAGACCATGATGTCCCTTGTGTCTTTGGAGCAATTGATATGAAATCTGTAGAATAAAAATTCTTCTGTCCTACAGCCTGCCAGATTTCAGGGAGATTTGATATTCCCTCCTGGGTTTAAAGATCCAGGAACAAAACCAATTCTTTAGAAAGTATGTTCAAAACTTATACACCAGTGATTTTGTCAAAGGAAAGAACATTTTAATACTAAGCTGAACTCTTGATTTCACAGTAGAATAAAAGCCATTTATTTCTCTCTTGTCTGATTCCTGATTTCAACCACATAATCCTTTGACAGTGTGATTCAGTAGTCTTTGACACATCTGGAAATGGACGCTTTTCCTTCCCTTTGAAAAACAGCTTTCCTAATCTGTTTTACTTTAGAGATAACAAGATCCCTCTGCAAAACGCTTACTTTATTAAAAAAACACCCAACAAGCATAAAGGGCACATCTAAACCTACAGCCTCATGGTTATCAAGTCTCAGGTTTTTCATAAATATCTAGTGGGCCCTGTCAAGTTCAAAAACAGTCTCAGATGGAAACCCAGGGTTTGGTTAGGAGAAGCACAAATATTCAGGCCTTCATGTCCAGAAACAGGCAGATCAATGCATGTGATGCCAAAGTGGCTGTGCAGGGGGAAACACAGACATGATTTCTGCTTCATTTAAAGGGCATTAGAGTGGTTGCTTTTGAAGTCTGAACTAGAGCTAGGAGAAAATGGAAGCTCAAACATCCTCCTCCTCCTCTTAGGGGAACAGTCACAGAGATACAAGGTTGGCTGCCTCCTCTGCTCAGATCTGAGGGATCCTGAGTGCAAGTCTGAATTCTCCATGAAAAAACTTTGTAGGGATCCGCCCTTAAAATCACTGGGTTTTCAGGACATACTATGTACATCATAGTTCAACCTGAGGATTGATAGTGGTAGGGTCACTCTCCACAGGCTCCACTGAACTGTGTAAGTGGTTTGACCACCAGGTGGCAAAAGTTGCCTGAGGAAAAAAAGCTCTACTGGAGAGCTGCCTGAAGAAAAACAAAACAGAGCTAAACAAACACCTCTGTCTTCCTGCTTTCCCAGTTGATTCTGGCTCCCTGTTAACACAAAGTGACCTCTATCCTGTGTTTGTTTGTGTCCAGGAGGCATGATGTCCTAACAAACAGGGTTAACTTATTCTGGTTCTCTATACAACCCTTCCCTCTGTCTGTCTGTCTGTCTGTCTCTCTCTCTCTCTCTCTCTCTCTCTCTCTCTCTCTCTCTCTCTCT